GGGGAGGTGAATGCAATTGCCAAGGCAAGAGATGATGGTGGCTTGAGTCAAGGAGACAGCATGGACAGGTGAGAAGGGCTGAGTTCTGGGCAAACTGGGGAGGTTAAGCCAACTGGATTAGCCAACAGGTTGGATTTGGGGTGCTACGAAAAGAGAGAAATCAAGGATGACTCCACACTTTTAAGTATGAGCAAGTGGGGGTGAAGGAGGGATGCACAGGGTGAGGATAAGATCAGTAATTTGTTTCAAACATGTTCATTTTGAGGTGCCTAATTAGATATCCAAGAGGAGATGTGAGGGAGGGAGGTCTTGAGTTTGGAGAGCTATCTGTGTGAAAGGAGAAACCTGGGAGGCATGTGGGCACACAGGCATTTAACAAACTATAGAAATGATCCCTGAAAGCATAGTCTTCACACAGGTATTTAAAGCCAGCAGACCACATGAGACTACCAAGGGCACGTAGATAAAGATCAAGGATTGAGCCAGTGCTCTCCAAGGCAGAGGGGTCCCTTTAAAAGAAACTCTGATGAGAGGGGGGACAAATCTGTCATTACAAGTAAGACGTCCACCAAGAAAGGACTGCGTAAGTAAATTATGGGTCTCCTATTTAATGGATGCTATGCAGCCATGAAAAAGAATGGTGGCTTTTTTTGGTCACAGGTTGGGTTCTCCAAAAGCAGATAGTGAGGTGCACAATGTTTACTACAGACTGATAGTCGAGAAAGGAAGAAGAAATGGGCAAAGGGGACTGCGAAGTTGAACTGTGATTCAGGCTGGACAAAGCCCAGTCAACTGGTGGGGGACTCCGCAGTGAATACTATCAGAATGTCACATCCAAATCAGAAGGGCTGGACACTAGTCCTCTGCCTCTCTGTCACTGGGTGTGGGCTGCCTGGGATCTTGAGTGAGGTGGCTCTCTGAACTGAGACTGTCCCTGAAGGTAGAAGCTGGAGGCTGCTGCTCATTATACTTCTCTCATCTGGGTGGCAAGTTCTTCCTTGAAGAGAGATGTGGAGACAGAAGATAAGGCTCTGCAAAGGCAGGAATTTTTGTCTGTTTTGCCTTATATTTGCTTGTTTGCTTTTAGTCCTGCTGTATCCCAGTGTAGTACACATAGTAGGCGCTCAGTAAATATCTCTTGCATGAACAAATTTTCCAGCCTCCTTTGCAGCAAGGTGTGGCCACGTGACTAAATTCTGCCCAATGGGATGTAAGCAGAGGGGCGGGCAGCAGCTTTCCTTCAAGATTGACAGGTGGGTCCTTTGCCTCTTTTTTCTTCCCTCCTCCATCTAGTGTTTGGAATAGAAATGTGCCAACTGAAGCTCCATTTTGGATCTTGAAGGGTCTTGAAGACAAGGAGGGTTCTACCTTAGGGACAGCTAAGGTGTGAGCTGGAAGAGGGTCCCCAGGCCCTCCTGGTAGAGAGCCACTCTGCCCACCCTCGATGCCCACCTACAGGCTGTTCCTTGAAGAGAAAGACTTTTCTGCCTTGTCTAAGATGCTGGTGCATTAGGGTTCCCCTCTTCTCAGACTCATACCTACTAATAAACCCTGGACCAGAATAGGCACTCGGTAACATTCCACAATAGAGACACTTGATAATTTTTTATTTTGAAATTTAAATTATTTCATCAGCCTCCTTTTACTGGACATTTATTTCCAAATTTTTGCTAATGTGAGTGTGGTAGACTGTCGTCAAAGAGAGCCACCGATTCCTTCCATCTCGTATGTCCCCACCACTCCTCACACCAAGAGTCTGTTTCCCCTTAAATCTGGGTTTGGCCCTGTGACTTGCAGGGCCCACTTTTGAAAAGACAGGCAGCTTCTTGGTCCTCTGTCTTGGAAGCCAGTTACTGGGTGAGGAGTAAAGGCCACCGTCCTGTGAAGAAGCCCAAGCAACCCAGTTTAGGCTCTAGATATGTGACTGAAGAATGTTCACTGTTGAAATTCCAGTCCCAGAAAACCCCACGTGAAGAACAATCACTCCACTGAGCCCAGTTCAGATTCCCAAATTCTGAGAAACAATAACCGGTGGCTGTTTTCAGCCTTGAAGCACAGGGGTGCTTTGTTACATGGTGACAGCTAACTGAAAAAACAGGTGTATAAACAGTTTTGCCATAAACAGCTCTGTGGCCACATTTTGGTGTTCATTTTGACAATCTCCTAAAAATGAGTAACTAGAAGTGGACTGTGTGAATCTAAAATTTGCTGTCAGCTCAGTTTCCCAAGCAGCTGTAGCGATGCCATGAGCCGTGGATGGGAGGGTCCATTTACGCACAGCCTCTTCAGTCCTTGGTGTTTCCATTTCTCTTTTTAATTTTCAGTTTCTATCAATTCAGTAGGCCTGTTTTACATTCATCTCAGAGAAGGTAACTGATCAGAGCTCCTTTCTGATCATGGAGTGCTGACCTAAAACTGGTAGGATGAACTGTTGTGGCCAAGAGCCAGGATATTCATTCATTCATTCCTCTATTGAGAATGTACTGAGCAAAGTCTGGAGGAGTAAAAAAACATTAAATATTTATGAGTGTCTACAATATGCCAAGCACAGTTCAAGAATTACCTTTTTTTTCCAGTTCAAGCCACTACCCTCTTTAAGTCAGTGACTTTCAACTTGGAGCAATTCTGCCCTCCGGGGGTGGGGAAACACCTAGCAAAGTCTGAGGCATTTTTGGTTGTTATGATGGGGGAAGAAATGTTATTGGCATCTAGTTGGTGGAGGCCAGGGATGCTGCTCAACAGCCTACAAGACACAGGACAGCCTCAGCCCACTCAACAAGCAATTATCTAACCCAGAATGTCATTAGTGCCAAGGTTGAGAAACGCTAATATAAATGAAATGGAATAAAATAGGATGAAATAGAAGCATCAGAAGACATTGTTCAAAGTACTGATAAGTATCATTTCATAGAACTTTTGCAGTTTTGTGTACTCTGACACTATATGAGATGCATTCCTCCTTGAGAGTCCTAATCAGGCAGGTTTGATAACAGTATTCCAAGAACCACAGAATTAAGACCACAGAGCCTGTGGCCTCACGGAGCTCACTTCTACAGACAATAAAGAAGAAAACAAATGAGTAAATGGGATTGTTTTGGATAGCCAATAAAACAAGGCAAACATTCTAGCAAGGGGGTTCGGGGAAGGCTTCTCTAAGGAGATGGCATTTCACTGGAGGCTCAGGAGCTAAATTCAGGAAGAGGACCCAAGAAAAGGCTTAGCGGTTATATGGGGCTTGGCATGTCTGAGGGACAGAAAGATATCCAGTGTCACCACTGGGGACGTGGAAAGAGATGAGGTTGGAAGACAGCAGAATGGGAGCCAAGGGGAGGGTCTTGGGCAAGGAAGGGAAATGATTCAATTAGCTTTTCTGAGGATCATTCAGGCAGCTGAGTGAAGAAGTAACTGGGCCACTGGACAAGAGAGAAGTTGGAACACCCGTGAATGCATTATTGAGGGTGTTGACAAGATAGAAGAGGTGAAAAGTAGTTGAACTTTGGATAGATAGAGCAGATATCTGGGAGGCAGAGAGGGCAGGGCGTGTGGTGAAATGTTGAGGGGAAGAGTGCAGGGGTGTGACAGCTGCTGGCCCTTTTCCCTAGGGCAGGGTGGGAGCTCAGGCCCTAAGGGAACCAGCTGGGCAGGGCCACCCACCTGACTCATAGCAGAAACTAGGACAGCCTATGCTACCCACCTACCTTCTCAGTCCTCACTGGGGAAACACCACTCCCACTGTTAAAATGTCTGCTTCCTCCATTGCCGCCACCCCCACACACACAGACCTATATCTATCTGGGCCTTCTGCCAGAAGTGCCACCAAACTTCCACTGCCATGTCCTTCCCTCTGTCTTGCCCCCCGGGTCCATAGGGTGGGAAGTTCTATGTCCTACTCTATCTTCCCATCAGACTGGGATCCCCTGTGGGTATGGAGGACACAAAATTAGCCATACCTAGGGCACCCAGCACTGAGTTTAGAGTCCAGTACCTCGATATTGTCAAAGCACACTTCAAATAGACCCTCATTTGGGAGGACTTCTTGGACCCATATGGTTCCTGATCCAGCACATCAATAACTAACGCACATTACATCAATAGCTAAGTTTTTCTTTGTATTGATTCTAGAGAGTGGGGAGAGAGGGAGAAACTGTAGGAGAGAAACACTGATGTGAGAAACATCACTGGTTGCCTCTTGCACGCAGCCCAACTGAGGGCTGAATCCGGAGGAATTGAACCTGCAGCCCTTTGGTTTCCAGGGCGACGTCCAACCAAATGAGCTACACTGGCCAGGGCGGTAGCTAATACAAATTTAGTACTTAGCTGCGTTCCGGACTCTATTCCGAGGACATGGTTATCATAATCCCTATTTTACAAATGCTAAACTGAAGCTCAAGGACAAACAACTAGTAAGTAGTGAAGTCAAGATGTGAACTAAGGTGACTTCAATATGCAGCTGCAACAACAGTAAGGACAGCAACGTCCTTACATTGTTCCTTCTGAGATTGACCGTAGCCATCTTCCAGATGACAAACTTCAGGAACAGAGGGGTTAAGCAATGCTCCTAAGATTACACATTACGTCAGTCCTGAAGCCCACCCTCGGACTCCCACACCTGGGCTCGCTCCCTCTATCCCACACTTGACCATAGATGAATGCCAAGATCTCAGTAAAAAGCAGCCCCACCAGACTAGAAGGTCGCCAAGGCCAGGGCCAAATGAGCACAGTGTTGATTCCCCCCCCACCCCCCGAGATCCGGATCCGCCCCACTAACGTTCGCACTGGTAGTCGAATGTCGATTTTTAAAATAAGTAATGAACAGCAGAAAATAATGACAAAATAGTTTGGGAAAGGGACTCGAACTACAGGTTTTGCAACCTCCCCAGCCTCTCCTGAACTTCACTTCGTTCCATGGCTCCGCCCAGCCCCTGAAAAGTGCCCTCCCGGCTTCCCGAAAGTGGGCGGTGTAGTGAGAGAGCGCTGTGGGCGCAAAGGACGCCGGGAGTTGTAGTTCTGCCTTCGGACGGAGGCCGGGACGGGTCTGCGGCGGGATGTGGCACGGAATATTGGTGCGAGGGACCCTTTTAGCGTCAGGCAGGTGCCTCGCGTTGGGGCCTCGCCTCGCCGCTCGCATCCGCACACAGTGGACGCCGGAGACTGGCCTGGCCCTGCAGCGGAGCTTGCACGTGACGGCGGCCCGGGCTATCCCGCTCATTCCCATCGTGGTGGAGCAGACGGTATAGCGACCGCGGAAAACACGGCCTAGGGCTCCGGCTGGGGGCACGGCCGGCCCAGACCCAAACCTCTTTCTCCTCTAGGGTCGCGGCGAGCGCGCCTATGACATCTACTCGCGGCTGCTGCGGGAGCGTATCGTGTGTGTCATGGGCCCGGTGAGCACCCCGCGCGCTGCCTCCCCTGTACCTGCCAGGACACTAAGCGCCCCTTCTCCTCGAACCCTCTTGGCCCCCTCACCTTTCCCACTTGACTTTCCTCCCTGGGTTCCGCACAACCTGACAACCCCTTCCTTGCACATAAGCCTTCTGACTCCCCACTGGCCTCCAATACCCGCCCCCCACAATTCCCTCCTGACCTCTTCTTCAAACCCTCTTCTCCGTGACTGACTCTCTCCTACAGCTATGATCCTGTCCCCATTCTTGGACTCCAATCCCTCAATCCTCCTGACCCACTCTCTCCCCCTTTCCTGCGCCCCAAACTTCCTTTGTCCCGTCCACTCCCCCAGATCCCTTCTTGAATCCTGAATTATTCTTGACTCATCCTCAGCCACTCCAGGACCCACCTCTCTTAGCACTTTCTCCCACCCCACCCCCAATTTGGGGACAACCCCATCCTTCCCACTTGCAGATCGATGACAGCGTGGCCAGCCTGGTTATCGCTCAGCTGCTGTTCCTGCAGTCCGAGAGCAACAAGAAGCCCATCCACATGTACATCAACAGCCCTGGTGAGCCGGAACCTACCTAAGTGCAAAGGGCAATCTGTGGATACACTGGGTGACTCAGGGGACCCAGGCTCCCACCCCCACCCCATCAGGATGTTCTCTCTCTGGAGAAAGAAAGGATCAAAGTTTCCTTCAGAATCCCAAAAGTGTCTTGAAACCTCCCAAAGCTGTACCTTACTTTTGAGTCTAGGTTCACAAATCCTCAGCTGAACTTTCTTCTTTGATCACAGACATAACAATTTTTTCTTTTTCAGTTACAGCTGACATGCAATATTATTTTATGTTTGTTTCAGGTGTACAGCATAGTGGTTAAACATTTATGTAATGTAGGAAGTGATCCCCCTGATAACACACATAATTATTACAATTATGTTACACTAGTATCCCTGACATCACACATAATTATTACAGTCGCATTAAGTGTGTTCCCTATACTGTACTGTACATTCCTGTGACTATTTCGTGACTGCTGATTTGCATATCTTAATCCCTTCACCTTTCTCACTCAGTCCCCCAATCTCCCCCTCCTCTGGCAACCATCCGTCTGTTCTTTGTATCTGAGTCTTTCAGTTTTGCTTGTTTATTTTGTTCTTTAGATTCTACATATAAATGAAATCATATGGTTATTTGTCTTTCTCACACATAACATTTTGTCAACCTGACCTAGTTGTCAACATTTTAAAATTGGTAGATTCCACCACCACCACCCCCTTCTCCCCCCCACACACAAAAAAAGCTAATCTTGATTGAGTGCTTACTGTGCCAAGTACTTTTCTGAGCAGTTTATATGTAGTTAACTTATTTGGTCCAATGGCAACCTCACATGATCCTAGTTACCACAGTCTAGGAGACACTGTGGCTCCGAGAGGCTGGGTAACTTGCCCGGGCCACACAGGATAGATTGCTCAGCCTGGGTCCTACCCGGGCAGGCTGCCTCCAGGGCTTCACCCTCAGCCACCACCTCTCCCGCTTTCCAGTATCTCTGGAAATTTTGGCAGGTCTGGTTGCCCTGGGCCCACATTCACATGTGGCAACAGCCAGCTCACTGTGGAGCAAGCACTCTCATGTTGCTCCCACCTGGCCTGTGTCACCTGTTTCTGTCACCTCCTGGCCCCCTGACCCGAGGTATTTGCAGACCCTGCTTTAAAGGGCTGCACCCACATCAGTCCTCCTTAGGACCAGGGGCTGCAACAGGGAAAGGATGGCAGGAGGAGCTGGCACAGCCCCTAACTCGCACCCCCACCCATAGGCGGCATGGTGACCTCGGGCCTGGCCATTTACGACACGATGCAGTACATCCTGAACCCCATCTGCACGTGGTGCGTGGGCCAGGCCGCCAGCATGGGCTCCCTGCTTCTCGCTGCGGGCACCCCAGGCATGCGCCACTCACTGCCCAACTCACGCATCATGATCCACCAGCCCTCTGGGGGCGCCCGGGTGAGTTCCACGCCCTGTGAATTGCTTCAGGGATGGGTGATGGGTCTGGACAGAAGGACTGACTAGACGAAACTCCTCTTTGGGGTTGTCAGTGTTTTAAAATGTAGGGTTTATCATTATTCAGGTAGAGTGAGGTCAACAGAGGACGACTGCTACTGAAAGTTTGTTAACAGTTTCTAAGAAGAAGGGGTGTGCCAGGACATGACAGGGCCAAACAGGGAAGTACCAGGGTTGGTCAGGCAGCAGAGGGAGCAGGAGGAAAACATGGCAAGAGCCTTTATTGTAGTTTCTGTGGGAAAAACTGGGAGCAAGGTAAAATAAACAGGCTTAAGATTGGCTAGTTTGAATAACTGCAACGAGCTCTGGGGTGATTGGGGCAGCGGGATAGTGGCTCAGAATCCCCATAGGAGGTGGTGGGAGTATGGGCTGTGGACTGTCTGGTTTGCACATGAAAGGTGTGCGTTTAGGTGAGCTATTTGCTATCTCTAGGAATTAGCTAACTGTGGGAGGGACCATTCTTCTGGGTCAATGAGGACAAGATACAGAAAATAAGAAAATATATTTAATCCAGGAAGCCTTCCTGCTGTTGGTGAGAATGAAGCAGGATGTGGAGGGACTCGCAAAGCCCTGTCCCACCTGCCTGAACACTGGCAGTCCGAAGTTCAAAGGAGGCTCCCAAGTCCCCAACTCCAGCCTCCCCATGAGTGGTTGACACTGGTTCCAACCTTCTCTTCTTGGGACGTCCCCCAGGGCCAAGCCACAGACATCGCCATTCAGGCAGAGGAGATCATGAAACTCAAAAAGCAGCTCTACAGCATCTATGCCAAACACACCAAACAAAGCTTGCAGGTGATTGGTGAGTGCCCTACCCCCGGCAGACCCCCTGCTGCTCCCCTTTATTTGAACCAACACAGATGTGTCAGGGCGAGGGCCTTGCACTGGGCGAGGGCCTCTCAAACTGGGCACTGTTGACACTCGGGGTCAATCATTCTCTGGTGGGGGCCGTCCTGTGCCCTGTAGGGTATTGAGCTGCACATCCTGGCTGCCACCCACTTGATGCCAGAAACACCCTCCAATTATGACAACCAAAACTGTCTCCAGACATTGCCCTCTGTTCCCTGGGGAATAGGATCACCCTCATTGAGAACTTTAACAGTGCCCTGTTCTGAGCACTTTAAAAAAAACAATTTATAGAATCCTCAAAAAACTTCACTGAAATAGGTCGAAAGGTCTTTAACAAAGAATATTCCAAGGGGCCAAGAAACATAAGAAAAGATGCTCACCATCTTTAGTGATGCTGTTTAATCATGACATCATGAGTTATGAGGGAAATTATGGCCACAACATGATACCATTTCAATCCACTGAAATGGCTAAAATATAAAATATTGACATCACCAAATGCTGACAAGAATGTGGGACAAGTGGAACACTCATCCACAGCAGCCCAGAGTGAAAATGGTATAGCCACTGAAGCTCTGACCACAGCTCCGTACATCCAGCTGTTTGGCACTACTGGCTAAGGCTAAATGTGTGAAAAGATCCTGGGGATACCCGCCCCCCACCTCAGCTCAGCATATAATCAAGAGAACTGAGTGCTGTGTCCACCAAAGATGCAGCTAGGATTGCTGACGGCAGTCCTCTTTGTATCAGCCCCAAACAGAGAAATACCCTGATGCCCAGAGCAGTAGAATGCGTGCATTGGTGATGGTTCATTCACATGGTGGAATACCTTACAGCAGTGAGAGAATGGCCTACAGTGACACGGCAGCCTGGATGAATATCAAAAACCTAGTGCTGGGTGGAAAAAAAGAGTGAACATTGTGATTCCACATATTTAAAGAACAAAACAGGCCTAGCTGTTAGGCCTCTGTTGGGATAGTGGTTACTCCTGGGCAGGACTTGATGACAGGAAGTGGGCCCAGGCAGGGTTTCCAGGGACCTGGCCATGCCCCATTTTTTGATGTGGGTGCTGGCCACGTGGGTATGTTCAGTCTGAAATTCATCACATTATCTACTTATTCATGCCCTTTCCCAGATAATTACCCATTAGTAACAAGTAAAAAAATAAGAATTGAAATAGATACTTTAGCAATGGGGAAACAGGCACAAAGCAAAGAAGGCCAAGGTCACACAGGGGAAACGTGGCAACAAAGGACCCAAACATAGCCCTAGGTCTCTGCTTTTAATCACATGTCTTGCCTCCCACTTCCCAACCCCACCCCATGCCCGCCCCCAAGAGTCAGCCATGGAGAGAGACCGCTACATGAGCCCCATGGAAGCCCAGGAGTTTGGCATCTTAGATAAGGTCCTGGTGCACCCACCTCAGGACGGTGAGGATGAGCCTGAACTAGTGCAGAAGGAGCCCGTGGCAGCAGCGACAGCAGCAGAACCTGCCCCAGCGAGCACCTGAGTGGACCTCACCCTCCAGAGAAAAGTTGAGGGGCCAGAAACTGTGGCTGCTGCCCTGCTGGACCCTTGCTGCTGGGCCTGGAGGAGCCCCCTGAGGACCTTTGAACTTGGGGATGCCCCTAATGGTGGGTATCCTGGCTGAGACACTGTGATTTTAAATTAAATCTTTGTAGTTTTTGCTGCCCTTCTGTGGCTCCTTCCTTCCCTGCTCCACCAGCACACATGCATATATACGTCCTTCTGCTTTGGCCCTGACCCCAGGGCTCTGATCTTCAGCTTCTCAATTTCAACAACCTCAACTGAGCATATACACGATTCCAGGCACAGCTCTAGAGGCCATGACACATCATGAAGAAAACAAACAAAAAAAATCACCGTCCTTAAAAAAATTTGTTTTTTAGAGAGAGGGAAAGAGAAAGAGAGGGAGAGAAACATCAATGTGAGAAAGAAACATGGATTTGGTCACCCCTCAAACACCTCCAACTGGGAACCTGGCCTGCAACTCAGTCACATGCCCCGACTGGAATCGAACCAGTGACATTTCAGTTCTCAAGCCAGTGTCTCAATCCACTGAGACATAGAAGCCATGGCTCAGAGAACTCTTTTTTTAAGTAGTGCTTTTTTTTTAAACTACTGATTTTAGACAGCAGAACAGAGAGAGGAAGAGAGAAAAACATTGATTTCATGTTCTACCCATTCATGCATTCATCAGTTGATTTTTGCATGTGCCCCAGCTGGGTTTGAACCCACAACCCCAGCATATCAGGACAACACTCCAAACGACTAAGCTACCTGGTCAGGGCCTCAAAGAGCTTATTCTTGTGGGGGCAGAGTTTGAAATCAGGAAAGTAGTATGCAGAGTGTGTGTCAGTTTTAGATGGGGTAGCCAGCAAAGGCCTTGCTAAGGTGACACTTGAGGAAAAACTGGAAGGAGGTGAGGGAGGGAGCCATGTTGCTATCTTGGGACACAGCCCTCCAGGCAGAGGGCATAGTGAGTGCAATGGCGCTGAGACAGGGCTGCCTAGCACCTGAGAGGAACCATAAGGCTAGAGTGGAGAAGACAGAGCAGAAAGGAGTACAGATCTCAAAAGGCCTGGCAGGTCTTAGCAAGGAGGGAGGTGAACCACAGGGTTTTGAGAAGAGGGAGGAAAAGGATGCCTATGGCCCCCACGGAGAGGCAGGTGGAGTGCAGCAAGCTCAGAAACCTGGAGCTGTTAAGAGACTGTTGGAATAGCCCAGGTGAACATGAAGGCCCAACCGGCTGGTGAGGTCAGATTCCAGCCAGGCTTTTTGTTGTTTTTTTAAAGTTAACTTTCCTTTTTTTAGATTTTTAAGATTTTATTTATTCCTTTTTTTTCCACATTAACAAAGGTTTATTTCTGCTGAGGTGACAGGGCTGGCTATGGGTCTGCTCCATGGTTCTTTAATTCCAGGGTCTAGGTCAAAAGGGCAGCTCCTAACTTAGTTGCCTGAAAGTACATGGTGGTTGCCATATTTATTCATTTTTAAAGAGAGGAAGAGAGGGAGAAAGAGATAGAAACATCAATGTGATGGATTGGTTGCCTGGGCCCACAACCCAGGCATGTGCCCCAATAGGGAATCGAACCAGTGACCCTTTGGTTTGTGGGACAATGCTCAACCTACTAAGCCACACCAATCAGGGCCCAGCCAGGCTTTAAAGACAAGGCTGCCCTGGCTGATGTGACTCAGTGGATTGAGTATGGGCTTTGAACCAAAGGGTCACGGGTTCAATTCCTAGTCAGGGCACATGCCTGGGATGTGGGCCAGGTCCCGAGTGGGGGCCATGTGAGAGGCAACTACACATTGATGTTTCCCTCCCTCTCTTTCTCCTTTCCCCTCTCTCTAAAAAATAAAACCTTTAAAAATATATTTAAAAAATTAAATAATTTTTAAAAATAAATAAACAATGTCAGGTCTGACAAGTAGGACATGAGATTTGATAAAGTAATCTTCATAAGCTATAAGGGATGGCCCAAAGCAAATATAAATTTGGAGAGTTGTTAACTAAGGCAGGAAGGCTGTTGGGAGGATCCAGTTTGGGGGCCGCGATCAGAAGCTGATTTTGGATGTTCAATGTTGGGTGAACCTCAGACATCCCAGGGGGTGGGTCAATCTGGGGTCAGGGTTGGAAATAAAAATGTAGGAGACATCAGCTTGTCACTGAATTAGTGGCCAGGCTGAGAACTGGCAATTGGATTTGGCACAGTGGAAGTCAATAAGTGGTCTCAAATAAGCACTTTTGGTGCTGTGGGGACCCAGAGAAAACAGGCTGGAAGATACTGGAGCTAGACAAGTCTTTTAAGAAAATCAGCTATAAAGGAGAGCAGAGAACATGGGCCTGGGGCTAGACAGAGAATCGGGGTGAATGTCATGTTTTTTAAAAGCCAGAGGACTTCCTGTCCCCCACCTTTTTATTGATTCCAGAGAGAAGGAAGGGAGGAAGCAAAACATCGATGTGAGAGAAACATCAATAGGTTGCCTCCTGCACGTGCCTGTCAGGACCGAACCCAAAACCTGACCAGGAATTGAACCTGGGACCTTTTGGTTTGTGGGACGACACCCATCAACTCAGCCACTCCAGCCAGAGCCCAGAGGGCTTTTTAATTTGGCTGTTTTCATTGGTTATATCTGGCTGAACTTTTCATTCTGGACAATTTTAAATATAAACAAAAGTAGGAAATACAGGATAATGAGGCCTCATGCTCCTTAACACCAATTCGACAATTACCAATTCAGGGATAAATGTGGTTTGTCCCTCCCTGACCCCCACTTCTCTGGATTACATTGAAGCAAATCCCAGTTTTCATTACATCTGTAAATATTTCAGTAATATTTCAGTAATATATCTGTAAAAGGAGAGGGAATCCCTAAAAAGACAACCACAATACCACTTTCAAACCTAAAAATTTTACAATACTTACAAATATCCAACCAATGTCCAAATTTCAATACTTACAAAAAATTACAATACAAATAACCCAACCCAGTCTGTTTTTCTAGCTTTTTGCAACGAGTGGGTATCTAAGGCTCTTGTAACTGCAGGTTTCCCCTTAATCTCTCTCAAACTCTTCCTTTTCTTTTTTCTTGAGATTCATTTGTTGGAGAAACAGCGTTGCTTGTCTTGTGGACTTGCAGTTTGGATTTTGATGACTGGGTCAGGAAAGGTGGTGACATCTATCCTAGGTATTTCCTGTAACTTGATGTATAAATCTAGAGAAATCTAATTGGATTCAGGGTCCACTTTTTGACAAATGATCTCTTAGCTGGGGGTGTGTACTCAATTTCCATTAGGAGACACAAAGTCCAGCTGTCCCTCTTTTCACGAAGTTAGGAGCCGATGAAAATCCTTGTCTAGATCCACTATATATATTCCAATAAAAGCTGCAAAATGGCGATATACCAATTCTATCATGAAGTTTGTTTTTATTTTGTTTATAAGGTGAAAACCAGCCTGTTTTTATGCGAGTGGGAATAATCCCATAGAGAAGGGTAAATGGGGGATGCCTGGCTTTGACCTTTGGCGGCAACCCCCAATTGCAAACTTGGTTCCATATTTGTGACCTGACGTCACTCCCGACCCCTTCCTCGGTTCTCTACCCTCAACTTCTAGTCCCCGCCGACTCCATAACGTTGGCCTTGACCCATATTCTTCTACTCCTGCCTTTACCCCTGAAAACGGACTTGCAGCACAGCCAATAGTTTCAGGTACGGATGGACAGGGCCCTTAGCGCGGGAGAAGCGGCAGGCCTTGGGAGGAGTCAATAGCTAGAGAAGGAGAGCCCAACCCGAATCCCTGAGCAGGAAGGCGGAACGGCAAGGAAACCAATCGCTGGAGTGCCTCGGCGCAGCCGCACATAAAGGCTCTGGGGGGGTCGTCACCCTGACCCTGACTGGTTCCACTCCCGGGCTCCGAGGCTATGACCGGGAGTGGGTGGCTGGCACTGAGAACACTGTCCGGGCCTAGCTGGGTGCGGGGCTCGGGCCCAGCCGTGCTGAAACGCCTGCGGGACGCGGCTGTGGTGCGGCCCGGTTTCCTGAGTGCGGCCGAGGAAGAGACGCTGTGCCGCGAAGTTGAGCCAGAGCTGCGCCGCCGCCGCTACGAATTAGACCATTGGGATGCGGTGAGGCCGCGTGGGGGGCGGAGCCACGCCGGAGGCAGAGGGATGGACGTTGGGAGCCGGATACGAGTGGAGCTCTGGAATGGGGCGGTGATAAGATGAGGGCGGTACCTAGGACGCCAGCTATCGGGGCGGGGCTACAGTGGGGACTGGTGCGGGGAAGTGGGGAACTGGGTGGGGCGGGGCTACGTCTGGGGACAGGACCTTGGGAATAAGGACAGAGTCTTGAAGCTTGGGGTCATTGGGGGCAGAGAAAGCATTTAGAAGACGAAGAGCAGGGCCATACTTGCCTGGAGGCGGGAGCTGGAACTGAGGGGTGTTTAGGATGCAGGACCAAGGTTAGGGAAAGAGGTGGAAGGAGATGAGGGACGGTCACCGGTTGGGGGCGGAGACTGACACAAAATTGAATATTGGGACGGGGCCGGTATTGGGGATGGGAATTGGTGCTGAATGGGAGCCCGAGGCTGGGTACAAAAGACAGGCTAAACTGGATGGGGCAGGGGTCAGGATTTGAGACCCAGGATTATGGTTTAGTTACGACAAAGTTCGTGAGTTGAGGGCGAGATCAAGAGTCATGCAGGGAAAACCAGACCCTTGCTCCTCGCTCTGTCCCTCCGATTCTCGGGTTCTGTTCCCCGCCCCCAACGGAGTTTCCAGGCTTGACCTCAGCTCTATGCAGGCTATCTATGGCTTCCGAGAGACAGAAAAGTCGCGCTGGTCAGAGGCAAGCCGGGCCATCCTGCAGCGTGTGCAGGCAGCTGCCTTTGGCCCTGGCCAGACCCTGCTGTCTTCGGTGCACGTGCTAGACCTGGAACCTCGGGGCTACATCAAGCCACACGTGGACAGCGTCAAGGTGGGCAGAAGCCAGCATCTGGGAGCTCCCAGCTGGGGATGGGCCAGATGGGCCAAAGCCTGACCCATCACCATGTGCCCTTTTTCAGTTCTGCGGAGCCACTATCGCTGGCCTGTCCCTGTTGTCTCCCAGTGTCATGCGGCTGGTGCACACCCAGGAGCCAGGGGAGTGGCTAGAACTCTTGCTGGAGCCAGGCTCCCTATACATCCTTAGGTACTGCCAGCCAAGGAGCCCCCACCCCACTAGTCACTGGTCAGAAACTAGCCAGCCCTTCCAGCACCATCTCTCATTCAGTCCTCACAGCAAACACTATCATCCCCTACATAGCAACACTCAGCCTAGAACAGGGTTCCCCTTATCCCAGCCAGCCACTGCTTGTTTTCTCTTGCAGAGACTCGGCCCGTTATGACTTCTCCCATGAGATCCTTCGGGATGAAGAGTCCTTTTTTGGGGAACGTCGGGTTCCGCGGGGCCGACGCATCTCTGTCATCTGCCGCTCCCTCCCCAAGGGGATGGAGCCAGGAGAGCCCGGGAAGCCTTCCCCAGCCTGCTGACCCCCAGGCCCTTCTCCTAGCTTCTCAGAGACATGTTTGTGAATAAAGCTAGAGAATGGACAAGGCAGCCTTCCTTGCACTGGCTGTTTGCTGGAGCTGGGGTCTATAAGGAAAGCCCAGGACGCACCTGCCCACCAACTGGGAGCTAAGGTGGCAAGGTCAGTGTGCACATCACTGAACACAAAATCACAAGGCCTCAGGGGCAATTTCCTTTATTGTGTTCCTTGCTGGTAGTCCTGGGGTGCCACCTCCACTTTCTCATCTTCTCAGCATCCAAGTCTCCAGTAAATAAGTCGGGACTCCTGGTGTGGCTACAGGGCCCCAGGCCAGGCACTCTTAGCCACCGCAACCACAGGCAGCCGCTGAGAGCTGGGGTAGCCACTGCCAGTGGTGGTGGTCATCCAGGAAGGCCACATCAGCGTAGCGGGTGGGCCGGCAACAAGGGCCACCACGTGCTCTGCCCTGACTCCTTAGGTGGGCCAGCGTCAGGCTGTGCTGAGTGTGGGCGCCTCGGGGACAGCTGCCAGCACAGTAGCGGAAGATGATCATCTCCTCTGAAGCATAGCCTAGGCCCAGATCTGCTACCGGCAGGGCCAAGCTCCACAGCTGGCAAGGGCCAGCTGGGGCTCTGCGCAGGCGGGCACCTGGAGGGGACAAGGGGCAGCTGACAGGGGGCAAGGGTTGGCCAGGAAGGAGTTGGGGAATCACACAGGGTCCTGCGGGTCCTTACCCAGCTGTGGCCTCCAGGTTCCCATGTCTGTTGCTGGTTCAGACAAGAGCTCTCCCTCTACCATCAGAGCCTCTGGAGCACCCAGGTCCCTGCCAAGGCCCAGCTGCAGGAACAGGAACAGCAGAGAGCCGAGCAGGACTCTTCCTGTGGCCATTGTGATGAGCAGGTCCTGAGGGTGGGGATGCCCTGCGCCCTCAATTTATCCTCATCTGGGCTGGAAAATAACCTCTTCACTGCCGGCCGCTGCATGGGCACAAGGGCCCCGTGTTCCCAACCAGCCTGTCTCCCATATCCTCAGACCTAGGCAGGCTGGCTCCCTCTGCCCCTCATTCTGTCCTTCTAGGAGTTAAGGGCTCACCCCCACATCCAGACATTCCACAGACCCATTTCCGACATTCCCTCCATCCCCTGATTTACGAGAGTTGTGGCGGCAGCCAGGGCCCAGCCCAGGGTGAGAAACCAGGGTCCCTGCCCCGCCTGCTGTCTGGAGAGAGTGATCAGGGGGTGGTTCTATGGGTCCCCCAGTGGGTTCCCTCTTCACTCAGGCAGGGTGCTGAGGCTCAGGAGCCCCTGTGTTGGGCACCAGGTGGAACAGACGTGTGTGGGGAAGAGGTGGGTTGGCAGGTGAATTAGCTAATAGGGACTTCTCCGTGGTCCCCACCTGGAGGATTAAGCATCATGCCCCTGTCTATGGGCCTGGCTGAGCTAGTGTCAAAACAGGAAAAAGGAGAGGCCTCAGCATAGCCAAAGGCTGGGACACAAGGGGCAGGAAGCTCACCCTGCAGGACTCCAGTCTCTAGAAGTCCCACCTGAGGACCAAGAGACCTCAGCCTTGTCCTGGCATCCCAGGTATCAGAGTGAGAGGGGAGGTTGACTCCCACTGGGTCTTGGAGGTGGTTACAAGTCACAATGACTTCCACACCCAGCCCCTTCGCCACTGGGAAGTGAGACTCTGTCTCTCATCTTTGAAAGGAGGCCAAAGTCCCTCCCACATGGGGTTCTGAGGACAGCCATTTAGTGTTCAACATGGTGCCTGGCACTGAGGAGCTTGGGAGAGCTTTGGGGGCAAAGGAAATGCAAATGGCTTTTGCATGTTTGAAGAGGTGTTCAACCTCGCCCAGGTGAGACTGAGTTAAAACTCAAGTGAGACTTGGCACTCAGGACTGGCAAAAATCAAAGGTTTGCTTCCACACTGCTGGGGTGCATGTGTGCCAGAGGCACACCCCCATGCTGTGGGTGCGGTGTAAGTTGGTAGCAGTTGAGCGTTTGCTACTCAAACTGCACATCCCATCCCTTAAAAAAAAACAAAATTGCTTCAAGAACTTGTCCTTCACGGGTGAGCAAAGACACAAGCGCAGGGCTATTCGGTGCTGGTTGTTTGTATCAGCAAAAGACCAGAAGTGACTGGAAGTCCACATACAGGGATTGCTTCAATAATTCGGTGTGGTTGTTCTTACTGTAGTCCTTGAGACTACATTCAGAAGGAAAAAAAGTCACTTGTCCAAGGTCACCAAGAATTAAACACAATCAGAATTTGAACCCAGGTCCTGCTGAACCAAAGGCCCTGCTCCTAACCACTGAGGCACATGTCCTGACCTAGTGAAGAGACCTTAGACCAGTCTACATGGCCGCAAATGCAGGGGTGAAACCTCCAGGTCAAGGGTGAGGGCTTCCTTCCTGCCACCCCGAAAAGGCCTGGCGGAAATAAGGGAGGGGGGAGGTTGGACAGACCTGGGACATTCCTAGGAATTAGCCTTACATCTCAGGCATTCCTGTTTGACAGCCAAGGTCCTGTGGAACTGGGTGGGGAAGTTTTCCACCTGCAGTTTCCAGCCAAGGGCAAGATGGAAACCCAGACACTCGGGTGTTCAAAAGTAGCACCTGCTGCCAATTTCATTTCCAGCAGCATTCTTGTCCGTGCACAGTCCTCCCACGACAGAACACCTAGCAAAGCTGGAAAAAATAAACGCATAAACAGCGTGTAAGGGAAGACCCAGAAACATCACTGGAGAGCTGAAAACCCGGCCCAGATGCCAATATCAACCATAAAAGGGGTTTGGGTGTTCGCTGCCCTGTATGGACAGAGCCCCTGAGCTGAGAACTCCAAGTGGGCACAGGCTGGGACTCCTAGAACCCCAGGTAGGAGCAAAGGCCAAAACCATCTAGAAGGGCTAGACTGCAAAATAGACCACCCGGGAGTCCCACAGACCGAGCCCCCAGCAGGCTTCCAGTTCCCACATCTGAGACTGCAAAACAATTGGTCAAAGAGTTGTCAGAAGACAGAACAGGATGCCAATGAGCTTCAGGTGCTAGTGTGTGTGACGGAAACTGTAAGACAAGATGCTGAAAATGAAAATGGAAAAGAAAGGATAAAAAACATGAAGGGCAAAACACTCAACACAAACCAGCTGATCTGAAAAAGAAACCAAGTACTCAGTGAGTTGGTGGTGGATAAACTGCACCCCGCAAAGTGCAAGGCAGAACTGAAGAACTCACCCCAGGTACGAAGTAAGTTCTACGAGACACCTAAAGATTCCAGAGGAGGGGAGGGGAAAATGAGAGAAGTAAATTGAGGAGAACGCCATTTTGGTTTTTCCATCCTTTTTAATGCTGCTCCTGGGAGTCAGGGAGCAGGGAGACAGATGGGCAGCCGGACCCATGGCAGTGAGTGTGAATTCAAGCATCCAGGACCTTCTGGTGACTAGAGCTCATTTACTGAGCAGACGGAAGGGGCCAGCCCCTCACTCCTTGAGGGAGAAGTGCATCTTGTCATTGATCATCTTGCGCTCCGGGTTGAGGCGCTTGAGAATCTGGGCGAGCACATTCACCGTCTGCTCGCTGCTCAGCCCCGTCTTCTTGGTCTGGAACTTCTTCAGCAGGTCCTTGGTGGTCATGGGCTTCCGTGTCAGGTAGCGGCGCACAGCGTCCTCAGTCACCTGCACGTCCCTGCGGAGCCCAGTGGAGATTGGGGAGATGAGTGGAAAGCCCTCCCTGCTAGCAACCCACATCCTGCCCCTGCTGTCCTCGCCAACTTACCCGCTGCTGGGGGTGGATTTCCCAGACTGGGGCTGAGGGGTGGACTTCCCAGACAGGCTCTGGGGCCCAGTGTCCAGCCGCAACCGCTTGGCTGCTGTTGTCTCATTCGTCCGCTTTCCTGTGGGAGCAGAGGCAGAGCCGAGTATTAGCACTGGGAGGCTGGATCTGTCAGGAGGACCCCAGGCTGGGTGGTGCCTGGATTATGGGTATGAGAGGCTCGGGGCCAGATAGGTGTCTCCCCCCTGACCTAGCCTCAGATCCTGACAGAAGAACAGAACCAAGAACAGAAACTAAAAGGTCATGCAGGGATAGGAAGGCCGCTCACCCTGCTCCAGCTTGCTGGCGGCAGCCCGAAGGGTGGAGGAGGTGTTGCCACTCTCTGTGCTGGGTGTGCCCGGCCGGCTGTTACCCCTCGAACTGCCCCCTGACGGCTTCCGCTCCCTCTTGGGGGGCGTCTTCTTTTTCTGCAAAGTTTAGGATTGGGGATATTGGTCTAGAAACAGACACCAAGGCCGACACCCCTCCCCCTGACCCTGGGGGCAGGGCCTTACAGCCATGAAGAGGGCTGAGGAGGCCTCACTGTCGATGTCACTCTCTTCTGAGCTGTCAGACTCATCACTGCTGTCTGTATGGGGCCAAAGCAGGGATGTCAGGACCACAGACACCTGTGCCCACCCCTCAGCTCCAGCTTAGACGAGGGGGTCTGGGAAGGAGCAGAGAGGGCCGAAGCCTTGAAAGCCAAGCCCACCTCTCCTCCGTTTCTTCTCTTGTGGTGTGGGTGCCTTCTTCTCCTCCTCCTCCTCCTTGTCCTCCTCAGGTGGCTTCTCTTCCTCACTCTCCTCGCTGCTTTCACTCTGCTCATCGACGCCCTTGGGGCCCTCCTCCTGCTGGATGACCTTGGGCTTGCCCTCCAGCTCTTCCTCAGAGCTGCTGTAAGACAGAGGGCAAGTGAGCACTTCCTCCAGGCTGGCCCAGGGTCTCACACGGGTCTCCTGCCTGCCTCACCTGGAGCCGTCAGACATGTAGTCCACCTCCTGGCCCTCGAAGTCCCCGTCGTCACTGTCCTCAAAGGCCTCATCATCCGACCCCTTCTTCTTCTTCTTCTTCCGGCCCGCCTTAGTTGTTGGCGCCTTCTTCTTAGCCTTCGGGGCTTTGCCACCTGGGGAAGCGGAGCACCCATCATGATTTGTATATTCGATGACCCTGGGACATCTCAGGGGTCCTTGACAATGGTGGGGGGGGGGGGTGTGCAGAGAGGGAGATGCCTCGGGCTAGACAATTCTTAGAGAAGGCAAAGGGCTTGCCCAGGAGTGCACTTCTCATGTGCAAACCAACCAATCCGGGATCTATCCCCCTGGCCATACCCTTTCTCTAATCTCACACTCAGGGCCACTGTCCCCTGCCCTATGCACCCTTGGACTCCAGAGCCCACTGGAATTACTCAAACTGGCAAACCCTAAGTGATCTCCCTGTTCTGCCTTGTCTTTCCCTTGGAAACTCCAATAAACAGTGTGGCCAAGTCTTCCCATCACTCACTTCTGCCTCCTCCCCACTCAGGTGCTTCCCCAAGTGGCCCTGCACGGCATGCTGTGCCTGCCTCTCATCTCCCGGTAAAAACTGCACCTAAACTCTTTTTTCAGTGGCATTAACCGTTCTGTGTTGTCACTCAGCCAGCTTTATAAAGACCAAGGCACAACTCAGGCAGTTGTGCCAACTACCCCAGCCACCAGGGCGGGGCTCTGCCCAAGCTCACCCTCCTCGCCACTGGCCTCGCTGTCATCAGATGACATCTCCAGGTCATCTTCTAGGTCATGGATACGCAGTTCGCTGGCCTTCTTGCGGCCACGCTTGTCCTTCTCTTCATCCTCCTCATCATGGTCCTGGTCCTTGAGCCGCCGCTGCTGCATGATGCTGAAGTGGTTCAAGACTTTGTTCCTCCTGTGGCCAGGGGTGGGGGTGCAGTGGGGTCTGACAACGGGCCTGGCTCCAGGGCCCTCCCCAGGAGCCTGGCGTCTTTCCTGCATCTCCCTAGGTATTCGCCAGAGAGGAACCCCAGACACGACTGAGGTGATAGGAGGGACGATCAGACCCCAGGAGACACACATACAGCATGAAACACCATGAAGTTGCACAGGGAGAGCTGACCCCA